AGCTGCTGCCTAGATTTTTTTTTTTCAGTTGTGCAATGAAACATTTTTAGCCAATCAGATTAAAGAAAATATCCTGTAAAGCAGCTCAGAAAACTTGCACACAAAGCTATACAAACAAAAATTTCAGTAAATACGTTTTAAATTATTTTGAGTTTCGTTGATAAGAAAAGCAAAGGATCTCCCTTCTTGAATTTTTCTGACATGATAAATTAAGAATTTTAGTGCCCAGAAGTTTCTTGAAATATTTCTTCTTCTATTATTTCCATGGTATATTGCTTTAAAAACTGGAATTATTGCCAATGGTTTCTCAAAATAGCATTTGCTGATGATACTATTTTTGAATTAAGTGATTTCAAAGGAGGAGAGGAAACTTTTAGTTAGGCTTTTGCTGTGCAATCAGGTAAATTTCATAAGTATCAAAAAATTGTTATATGCCTCTAAATTAGGAAGGAATTTCCTACTTGCAAATAAGAGTGTAGTTAGTTTGTCTCTATGGTAGTTCAGTTAGCCAACACTGAAAAGAAACTCCATTAAAATGGAGTGAATCAGTTCAGTCTGAGTAACATCCTGTTACCTATGCAGGGCTACAGGAGAATTGCCTGTTGCTGTTAACCTGAGAAGGCATCTTGCTTATAATGATTTTTTTCTGAGTTTAGACTCTTTCCACCTTTGCTTATCTAAACATCTTACTGAACTTTTGTAAAACAACATAATTCTTTCTTAGCATCCAAAAGAGAAAGATTTGTCCTGCTTTTTAAATATGTTTCAAGTTCTCATCTAACAGATATGCAATGGTATGCACAAATACACGTAAAAATTATAATAGTGATACCTCTGATCTTTATCAATGAAGCAGAAAAGAATGTCCTTTTGTTTGTTTGTTTTTCTTTTAAAATATAACTGAATAATGCTGCTTTGACTGTGACTATGAGATCTCGTAATCAGATTATTTGTTTCATTCAGGATTCTATATTCTCTGTTTACCATATCATTTCACCTGTTTATGATGTTAATAATCTGGAACAGTGAATTTAAAAAAGAATAAGTAAAGCAAAATTATTTAAGTTGGTTGGGAATGGAGAGGGTTGTCAGGAATATCAGGGAGATCTTAATCTACCTATTAGCCACAGTGGCTGTTGAAATTCTTAAATGCAAAGTAAAGCAAATTAAGGAAAACTTTCACAGTAATTATATGCTTTAAGGGATTCTAGATTCACTATATCTGCTCAAGAGATCTGGCCATCATTCTGAATGATTCATTGAGGATATCTGATTTAAAAACTTATAATATTTCTCAAAGGATACTGTAGAACTGAACTGAGTTAAAATGAGACAAAATGATCAAGAGAATGAAAAATTTGTGACAAGTACACTGAATAGATTTGTACTGTTACAAATATGTATTTCAGAATTCTTTTGATTGTCTAAAATTGAACTTCAAAAATTATGAAATAGTGATTGTTATAGAAATTTCTTTCAGTATCTCATGAGGAAGGAGCATTCTGTTAAATTAAATTATGAGAAATTAAAAATTGATGAGATCATTCTCATACAATAAGCACTAAATGTGTTATTGCATAAATATTTAGCAGAATTCAGAAGGAAATTGGGTGTTTATATTCTGGATAGTCTTTATGTATAAAATTAATAATAACTCTTGAAATATTATTAATACTTACATTTTTAGTCAATTTTATCTGCTTCAAAATAAACTTTGTAGAGCAGCGACTGATTGTGAATAGCTGTTGCCTTGCAGAGCCAACACAACTGCAACACATTCTGTTTTTTCATGCAGCATTGATAAAATTTCTGCTGGAAAGCAATATTGGAAGTTACTTTTCTCATAGAGATGTAACTGGGGTCATAATTCGTCCTACAGAACTTATATTGATACTGATGATTTGTAAACTGTGGAGACAGATTTCATCTACCTCCACAAAATACTATCTCATGGAGGGAAAAGAATCAGTTAAGATGTGTAAGGTCTTTTCCCATAATCCCCCTACTTTCTTCTCCAATATACTCAATTCAGGTATCCCAAACAGCTCTCCATTTCTTCGATCGCAGTTAACTCTACCATTTTAGAACTAACAGTCTTAGCAGCTCAGGCCTCTTGAACATGACTGTACTGCCTCCAGAAGCAAGTCTGATCCAGATGCAGAACAGCTTAAAGCATTTATTAAACACTTGGACCACCTCTGTGCAGAAGTTTTGTACTATGTTTTCAGAAGTGGGAGCCCTCTAGGGTGCAATGCAGAACATTAGTATCACCACAGGTTCAATGTTTTGTTTTTATTAGTTCTGAGACTGGGCTGACTATTGACTATATCCTGGTACTATACCAGGTGTGACTATATTCTGGTATATTTCCTATGCATCTCAATAAACTGGGGTTGTGGAAAGAACTTGTCAGTTCTGTTCCAGTTCTGTCTGAATGCTTGGAGCTATTTTGCTCAGAAACAACCCAGAAACAGTCATACCTCTCTAAATTTCAGGAGACTTTGGTAGAGACGCACAGATGTCAGGGCTGTTATATGCAAGTTCACAAGAATAATAAACTCTGCTAGTCTAGAATGTAATGTTTTGGAGCTGTTTTGATCTTCACAGCACAGTCTGTTAGACATCTCTTTGCTAGCCCGGTTATCCTGTTACCTTAAATAATGGAGAGCTGGCTGATTTCATGGATGAAATTACCTCCTCCTCCATATCCTTTTTCTATTACATCTTAGCACCCTCTCCCCTTCAAAACTGTCTTTGAAAACAACAGAGAACTCCCCACACCCCCCACACCCCTCACATACACTTTGTTTCCACCAAGTTTCTGTTTCTGTATAGAACGTGTATCCCAGTTTTTCAACATTCAGTTCTGAGAGGCTTATTGGTCCTGACTGAAAACTGGTTATAATAACCTTCTGTGGTATATACTCGCTGCTTGGCCCAGAATTGTGATTCCAGCTTTCTCCTTTACACTGAATTTCCTGCAATATATCAAGACAAAAATTTTACTTGTTTTGGCAAAACAGAATATCTTTAAGCAACTAGGTTGCCAAGTCTCATTGGAACTTGTGTTAGATGGGCAAAGCAATCACTGAATTGGAACATGGACACCCAGTAATAGTTGCAATTTAGATAATTGGAGAAATTATCTCAATGTTCTCTTATGAAAGGATGAAACTTATTTGATTTGTTCTACTTTCCTGACTTTGTTTAAAAGGACAAATGTCCTGTAAATTTGTATTTTTAAATGTTTGCTGGTGTCTTTGCCAGTTTCAGGCACAATTTTCATGTAATTCAAAAGAAATTGTTAGAATAATGCCATAACAGAATTTTGTATGATAGTTTTAGAACATTCATTTGTTTTACAGAACATCTATATGATAGTGTTTTAACTTGCAAATATATAATTTTGAGCTATTAAAAGTAGAATTTTTGTACTTATAATGAAAATGCATTTCATTTCTAGCTTCTCGTAAAAGACATAAAAAGGATAGAGATGAAGCTTGGGAGTATGAAGAACATGACAAAAGAAGTTCTGGTGACCATAGGAGAAGTGGTTATTACCATGAAGGAAGGAGGACTTCTGGTAGTGGCCGTTACCGTAATCGCAGTCCTGATGACTCTGATATGGATGATTATTCTCCTCTTCCTAGCCTCAGTGAGGGTAACTGATGGTTTTTAAAAAATTATTTTCTTCCATAATACTAGTGCATTTTTAAAGGATATGTTAATTATTTTAAAATAAACATCTTTACATGCAATTTTGAATATAAGCATAAGAAATGTAAACAATCCTTTATTCTCTTAATTAGTGGCTAGAAAAATGAAGAAGAAAGAAAAACAAAAGAAGAGGAAAGCTTATGAACCTAAACTAACTCCTGAAGGTAATTTTAGAAGATTTATTTTCTACAGTTTGTATTTTCTGTTTTGTATGTAAAATAGTTATATATACATTTCTTTTTTCACCAGAAATGATGGATTCTTCGACTTTCAAAAGATTTACTGCTTCAATAGAGAATATTTTGGAAAATTTAGAAGACATGGATTTTACAGCTTTTGGTAATATGTCAGATATTTTCAAAATGCTTCCCACAATTAGAAACACAGGAAACAAAAAAAAATTCCATCTCAGTATTTTTCAAACTTCCTTCTTTGTGATTTAATTGCCTGTGATACATGCTCTGGTATACTGCATTTATATGGCTTCTACCTTGAGTGGAGGCCTTTGCCTTTCCAATTTCACTTGCTGCTACAGGAAGAAGATCCTCCTCCTTCCTCCCTGCAGAATCCAAAAGGGACATAAATCGCAATGAGACGAATAATAGTTGCCTGGAAGTGGAAAGGATACCTCTTTGGGATGTCATTAGGGTGTTATCTTCTGTCAAACATATCTTTGTAAAAACCACTAACATAAGATGGTTCTTTTGCCAGTAATGTCTGAGGCACATAATTTTGCATCTGTTGTGGCCTTTGGCCTGACAGAGCTTGATTATTCAATTCAGCAGCAGAGCGCTTATGCACTTATGGGTGAGGCATTGAATCACTGTATGCTCCTTATCCATCTCAGTGGAAAATAAGCCAGCTTAGCATAAGTGTCTGATGAAGTAGTTCAGGTTAACCAAGATGAATTTCTATTGAGATGGATAATGGAGCATTCATTATTTTTTTCCTACCATCTTTGTCACAGGATTAGAACAAGGGGAGGAGCATAGTAAACAAATCACTACAGCTATGGTGCCTACAACCTTGGATTAAAAAGTCAAGTAATTGGTTCTTTCTATATGTCTTGTAACATCATGGGGTTTTTTTGTTAAGGGTGAATGTGATTAAGATGCAGTATATCCCAAGGTACTTAATTTCCTATGTGTTTTTCATCTATTGCCCTTCCCCATATTTGAACTTTAGAAGAAGGACTACAATCATTTAAGATTTGTTTTACTGAAATGAGAGTGATTGCACAAGAGCTGCAATAAATGGATTTTGCTATATTAAAAATATTTGTAATTTATGACTTACAGTCATATTTAACAAGTAGTTGTTTTAACACAACCAAAAGTTGTCATCATCAGTCTTCGTTAGATGGAACCATTAGATGCTAGCTATTTGGAAAATCAGTTCTTTTTCTTCAGTTGGCTTTTTCATATTGGCTGAAAAATACTGGTTTCCTTGAAGTCTTATTAGAAATAAGATTGTTAATTTTAAATTTTTTTTTTAAAGGTGATGATGATGAGATTCCACAGGAATTGCTACTGGGAAAGCATCAGCTTAGTGAGTTGGGTAGTGAATCTGCAAAAATCAAGGCAATGGGCATCATGGACAAGGTACATCTTGATAGTATTTAACTCTTTTTGAACATTTAATTTTGTTAAACATACAATAACTTGTGCCCCCTCTAATATTCTACCCTCTTCAGGTGTGCATGTGACAGATACTGTGAACAGTTGTGCTTCTGCTGACTTAGCTTAAGTGCTTAAAAAGTTACCACATCTTAATTGTTACTGTCTCTGGAGCTGAGACGTTTTTGTTGAATAGTCCTTCTCTGTGTTAGTGCTGACTCAGAGCACTATATGCCAATAGGTAACATGTGCCTGAGCAGTAAAATCTAAAATAATTCATCTACTTTCACAAAAGCACATCAACCTGTAGGCTTTGCTCCTTACAGCTAGTGTTGAGCAACCACAGTAAAACAGAACCTGCTGGCAAAGTAAAAAAATCCACCCTTTCTGATACATGCCGTTAGTGCAATATAAATGTATGATGTCCATCCAGCATCACACTGAATTGCCCACTTCCTTCCTCTCTCCAAAGAGTCCATTCAAACTTGTAAGATTTAATGCCCCAAGCGATAATAAGATTAATTTTCTGTAGACTGCATATTGTGGTTTCTTTCCCATACTCTTCCCAACTTCAGTTCAAGGGAACTTTCTCTTGACACAAACTGTTAGTATCACACCTCTGGAAACAATGTTCTTTCTTTCCTTATCTTCCTAGAACTCTTGGCTTTGGGCAGTCTTGTGTTAAATTCTTACTCTGCCTGCTCATGACTACTTACTGTGTTTAAGAAGTGTCTGTGAAGCAACTTATTATACAAGTCACTCTGAAGGGTTTTCTTTAATCCAAGATTTAGATATTCTTCCTGTTTTTTTCTTCAATCTCCCTACCTTCCTTTGTAGCGTGTTATCAGCCTGAGTGTTTCTCTTTCTTGATAGTTCTTGCCCTTAACCTCTGTTCCCTGTGGTTTTTTTTTCACACACATACATGTATACATAAAATCATAATTTTGTTGCTTCTAAAGGTGAGCACCAATAGTATCTGGATGAATGAAACTGACTCTTCTAGAGTTTAGCATATTCTACAGATTATTTAATCATAATTCTGTAGAACATCAGTAAGTGGGTTTGAGTTACTTTTTTTCAACATGCTAGGTTTTCAAAGTTAACACAGTTATTAACAATGTTTCCTTTTTATTAGCACTCAAGTATTTTATTTCTGCTTGTCCATAGAATTTGGATTTTCTCTTAAGAAAGCTCTATATGGTCAGTTAGAATTTGTGATTGATACTTGGATTTGGTAAATTTCTCTTTCTAGAAGCAAAAGTGAAAACTATACAACATTAATTACAGATATGCAGTTTTAAATACATTTCTATGCATTATTCTGGTTGAAAATGCAGTTTGATTGCAGTCTTAGAACATATTTCACTAGTTTAATTCTGTTATCAGCATTCTCAATCATGCTGTGTCAGAAACCAGACAAGTCAAGATCCGATCCTTATCTCAGATTACTTACAATTTAAGTTTGTCAGATTACATAACATGTTCTGTCCTTCATCCATGGATGTTTTATTCAGCAATTTGGAAGCTTTATGATCCTACAGTTGTTTGATGTGTTTTGTTTCTTGTTTTAGCTCTCAACAGATAAAACAGTAAAAGTCCTGAATATTTTGGAGAAGAATATTCAAGATGGATCAAAGCTTTCTACATTACTTAACCACGTGCGTTTCAAATTACATCGTTTCACACCATTGTGTAGAATAGGGGTTTCTTCGCTTGAGTCACATATAGTGATAGTTTCAAATACTCTGTGTGTGTGTGAAGGGAATTTCTGATTTAATATGTATATGATTGAAAGATTGGCAAATTTTAAGATTTGAAGTTAAATTCAATTGATTATATTCTTTCCGTACTAAACATGTTTTACTACAGTACTGATAACTAACATGTATTGGGAGCAATTGAGTCATCTTTTGACTTAATTTTAAATATTATAGTTTCATCCTGAAACATTCATGATAACTGGTGTAACTTGCACCACTGGACATTTCTTTGCTACTTTTCTACGTGTTCATAAAACATCCCTTACACAATGGAAGAAGTATTACAGCTTTCACGTAGAGCGTATTTTTCTTCTGAGCATTAAGAACTAAGGAAGTGCTTTATTTCAGTCTGCTCTTATGCTGCAAAGTTGAAGTTACCAACGTAAACAAAGTTAACAGGAAGTTTAAGATTTTAGGGTTTTTTTTTTCTGATATACCTAAAACTGCATGGGGATTTGGAGGTTTTTATGAGGCTGAAATGTGATATTACACCTTTTATTTATTTATTTCTACACTTTCTAGTCAAAATTAATCAACTCTATTCTAGGAAGAATAGAGTTCTTGAATTTTGTGGAAAAAAAACCTTGATCTGCAGAAATAGAGAGTAATTATATATATTGGAAAGGAAAAATTTGAACTTGAAAATGAAAACCAGAGACACATTATTTGTACCTAAATATTTTCATCTAGATAGTTTGTTGAGTTTTCAAAGTTTCAGTATACGGTTCTGAATGTCTTTAGCAGTATGAAAAATAAGTGAAAAGAAGGTGTTGGTTTACCTGCTCTAATTCAATGATTGAGTCTTTATGCCAATGCCTTTAAAGTGATATTTTTCTTTTAGCTTGTTTTGTAAAACTCAAGATTATTAAGCAGTTAATGAAATTGTTCAATGATTGCATTTCAGAGAAAAAGTTTTGATTAAAAAAGAAGCAATCTTCAGCCAAACAAATTTTAGATTTTTTCCTAAAACCCATTAAACATGATTCAAGTCATTATGGCAAAGAAAGCTTCTGCTAAGGAGTAAGCTTACTTCTTTTACAGTGCAGTGAAAATATCCTACCTCCACATCAGGATATTTTTCAGAGGCAGATTGCACTTGCAGATTCTTTTTATTTCCAAAATTAATGAGAAAAAAAAAAAGTAGAAAAGATTTAAAAGTACTTGGGTTTTTGTTTTGTGGGGTTTTTTTGGGTTTTGGGTTGGTTTTTTTTTTAAGCCTTCTTTGTGTAAGGAACAAATGATTTAAAGCCATTCTATGCAAGAAATTTACTTTAATTTTTTTTACTAGGAAAGCCAACAGTGTTGAACTGTGCTATTATACCTGCAGGAAAGATTCTTTTTCTCTGTACCAGAGAAGTTATTAAAAATTCTACCTGGTTTTGCTATTAATAATGTTATTACAATATTTCAGTAGTACTGGGTGGTCATAATTAACCTCATGTATGTTTGTTTTTATAACCTGTACAAACACAGAAATACAAAGATTCTATACCCAATGCTAAATCTAAATGGTCATATTTGATAAGACATGTTTTAAACCCATTGATAATAGATGAGTCGGTCTGGAAAGTGGAGAAAGTTGTATTCTCATGAGTTTTGTGTGACTTAACAGTCTTTTTGTGTAAGAGTTCCCTCTCATGGCAAAAATTAGACTTATCAAAGCAGCAACTGGTGTGCATTGGCCACTGAAGAAAAAACTAGATGAATGAGTTGAGATTTTGATTAAGGTACATTATTCTTAAGTAGAGAACATAGCAGTCTTCCTTCATACTGCTTCCTGATGATACACAGAAAGCTTCTTTGTGTTTTACCAGAAGAATACAGTGAGATATTGAAGACTTGTAACTTAGGGTTACAAACCTGTTGCTAGTAAAACAAACATTAGTTGATATCTAAAACAAACTATTTTTGTATCATAAAGGAAATACAACATTTTGTATGTGTGTGTATGTAAGTATATTAAAATAATGTTAACTTTTACTTGGTAAGGATAAAAATTTGACTTCTTGTTCACACTATCTTGTTTTTTATTGCCTGTTACAGAACAATGACACTGAAGATGAGGAGAGATTATGGAGAGATCTTATTATGGAGAGAGTGACAAAATCTGCTGATGCTTGTCTTACTGCTATCAATATTATGACATCACCAAATATGCCTAAAGCTGTATATATTGAGGATGTAATAGAAAGAGTTATTCAGTACACAAAATTTCATTTGCAGAACACTCTCTATCCTCAATATGATCCTGTGTATAGAGTGGATCCTCATGGTGGTTAGTATGCTATAAATGTTTTGCATTTAGCATTTTATTGTCATATACATACCTTTAGATGTGGATGTCCAACTTTTCAAGAATGGTTTTAAAAATCTTGGATCCAGAATTCAGAGCAATTATGAAAATATGAAATTTTTGCTTTCCAGGTGATTCTACTAAATAGTTTTTCTTCTGTAAGCAATTGCATTTACAAAGCTGTAATCATGGAGTTGTTTTGGGGACATTTTTTGAGGAAGATGATCATCTTTCTAATATTTGATATAAGTAAAACACTGAAAAATTAATTAAGATATTTTTTATTTTCTAGGTGGTGTTTTAAGTTCAAAAGCAAAACGTGCCAAGTGTTCCACCCACAAGCAAAGAGTTATAGTAATGTTGTATAACAAAGTTTGTGACATTGTCAGCAGCTTGTCTGAGTTGCTAGAGATACAGCTTCTTACTGATACAACTATTCTTCAGGTAAGTTTTATCAGAAGAATTTCTGTCTGAGAATATTTGTTTTTATTTTCCCAGACAGACTGTAAAGTGTGATTGTCTCAATGACATGAAGTATGAAATCAGTACAAATTTTTGAATTACTAACATCAGACTATTTTATTGTGTAGTGTGTAATCTGCAGAAGAGCATTTGATGTTCAAATCTTTAATGGCTTTTATTATACACTTTTTAACCTGATTGTATTCAAATACCCTTTAATAACTGTATTTGCAAATAATATGAAGTAATACATGTTGTTGAATACCTTACCTGCTGAATGAATAGCCTACTTGTGAAAATGCATAAATATCAGTTTGTTAGTCAAATATACTTACAATAACTTCTTTCTGTTGATAGGTATCATCTATGGGAATAACACCTTTCTTTGTAGAAAATGTCAGTGAACTACAGTTATGTGCCATCAAATTAGTGACTGCAGTAAGTGGTTTTTAATTTGCAGTTTCATGTTCCTGTACTTCTGAGAGTTATTAGGGCATTTACATAGGCTGTATTTTTCCTGGTAGAGGATTGGAGTTTAAAACTAATTTTTTTCTTGCACATTTTTACAGTTTGGTATCATAATCTAGGAACAGTATTTAATCTACCTGAGCTCCTCCTATTTGCAGAGTAGTCTATAGCAAGAAATAGCCTACTTAAGCCAAGGAATTTACTTAATTTTGGTTATGTTGTTTAAAGTGTAAACACAAACCCCTTCTTCTTACCTGTCCTTTCTTGCCTTAAGAAATCTTAACAATGAGGTTTTCCTTACTTCCTTTGTTAAGATTTGAATTTATGCAATGGAATAAGCTATAGAACTAGTAGGATACTTCTATATAATAGAATAAGTCCTTTTCCTCAGAAGAGGTGTCTATGTGAAAAATTCATGGGGAAGATAAAATATTATTTCAGAAAAACTGCAGTGCAACACAGATGTGCTTGTTCAAGTGGAAGTTTTCCATCTTTGTAAGGATGATGTACTCCAGTATTTATAAAAGTAATTCTGCCTAAACAAAAGGAAAGGCAAACTTTACAATCCTGAACCCATAAATTGAAAGACTATTTCATGTCAGGCAAACATTAAAGCTTAGGATATGAAGTAAAACTGGTTTCTCAAATGTGCTCTAAAACCATACATGCGTTCATGTTAATTTATGTTACCATAGAGTTTTGCTCTATACTGGAGTCTGAAAGCTTAGCATTACACTGCTTGACTTTCTTATACAGTGTATTGTACCATTTGCAGAATTTTTTAAAACATACGGTATTTTTAAGAGCTATTACACATTTATGCTATTTGAAGTTTTTATGTATTCTATAAAGAAGTGCTTGCTTTGAAAAAACCAAAGCAATGCATTAAAACCAAGGTATGTATTAAATATAATTTATTTAAATGTCATGTAAAGTATATGTTTCTATATATCATTTTTATCAATCTATTTAACAAGCGATATTTTATGTAACAGTAAATAATTTTTTAACAATCCTGTAACTGTTAAATAGGTGTTCTCCAGGTATGAAAAACATAGACAGTTAATACTGGAAGAAATTTTCACTTCCCTTGCAAGACTACCAACTAGCAAGAGGAGTTTGAGAAACTTCAGGTAATTGCTGACATAGATTGATAATTTGTAGACAGTAGCATTTACAGTTCTGTAGATGTAGGATTTTGGGCTTCAGTATTAACTTTTTAAAAAATCTGTGACTCCACAAGCTGTGCTTTGTTAGAGGTTGACATTTCAAAACCTCTACAGTAAGAGCAGAATTGCCTAACAAATGTATTTTGTAATAATCAATGTTTCTTATGCCATCATATTTATGCCTGCTTACAAAAATAATTGCAATATCCTCTTATTTGTCTCACTAAGGATGTAAATGAGTGTAATGTTAGTGTGCATTCAAAGGTTTTTTGTTGGAAAATTCTTTGGTTCTGTTTATATGGATTTTATATAATTTCATTACTAAAGCTTAAATAGGAAAATTCTGGCTTAATTTCTTCGAGGACACACTCAGAGCACTCTTTCCAGGAAATCAATCTAATACTCCTTTGAATGAGTTTCATTTAGGAACTACTCAGTTCACTGTAACTGTCTTTTAAGCGCTTCAGCTGGATTTCAGTGCATCTTCTTAAAAATAGTATAGGTTCAGAATTTGAGAAAGAATCTGACCTGAACTGGATTTCAGTTAAAATTGAGGTTGGACACTTTAAATGATTCTAAAACATTTCTTGTAGGCATTGATTTTGTTCCTTACTTGCATACATCTTTTCCCTGGAGACAGACAAATTGTCAATGAAATAGGTTGTCTGATCCAGGGTGGATGAACAGGAAATATCCAGGAAAACTTTGACATTTAATTCAGCAACCCTAATGTTAACATGAGTGCTTGTTCCTAGTATTTCCTATTGTTTTGGTTATAGACAACAGAGAGATCTAGCAAATAGGAAGGCCGTAGGCATAGGAGCATAAATGGTAGCTACCCTCTTTGAATTAGGACCTTTACTAGAAGGAAGTCACTATCTCAAGGCCACAATGACTGCGCTGTTTATCTCTAGAGTCCTAGCTCTGATCTATTGAAGGATATTCCCTGTCTGGCTACAGTCATGAAGGGTACAGCTTACGTAAAATTTGATATGAAAAGATTTTCTCTGTACAAGTAGTCAGATAACTTCATAAAGATAATAATTGCAATGTGGTTTGTGCCCAGTTATTATTTTGATAATTTGGGGAGAATGATGTCAGAGATTATCACCTTTTCATATTGTTAAGGGTAGCATTAAGTGGTGTTGATGTACGTATGGGTAGTAAACACTGTACTATTTGTCAGGTTAAATCACTTGGAAGGGGAGAAATGTGAGGCAGAGTGTATTCACACTGGTCATACTAACTTAAAGACACTCTTGCATGCTGAAGTTTATAGTCTGTTACGCTACCTGAGATTACCAGAGGTGTAACTCTTGTAGAAGTCAGTCCAGGTCGTGGTCACTATTTTCTCTTGTTTAAGTGTCCTGCACATTTCACATACATTAAATAATATATAAGTAATAAATTATTAGGACAAGTTTGGTGTGTATTTTTTTAATGTTGTGTTGGAAATGGATATGGCATTATACATAATAAGCCTATTAGTGCCTTAGCATGTAGGTGTTTGATTTATTAAATATTTCTGTAGATTTTTCAGCTGCTGAACTTCACAGATACTCTGATAGCCCATCTGTGAACTGTTTCAGTTCATCTCTTTGGCCTGAGAATAAGACTTACTGGTTTTGTTAGACCAAATTTTTCACTGCATAAGAGAGAAGCAAATGACTAGATAAATGTCTAGAACACAGATTTCTAGCTGTGGTAATAATTTTATAAAGATGTTATTTAGGACCAAAAATTTTTGTTTTGTTTTGTCTTTTATGTTTTGTTTAAGTGTAATGCTGTCTTTCTTATTAACAGGTTAAACAGCAGTGACACTGATGGAGAGCCTATGTATATCCAGATGGTAACAGCACTAGTTTTGCAGCTTATTCAGTGTGTGGTACATTTGCCATCAACAGAAAAAGATTCTAATTCAGAGGAGGAATCAAACAAAAAAGTAAGATTATTTTTTTAAGAGAGCTATAATTTTTTTTGTGCAGGAATGACTTTGTAGGTATAATATTTTATGATGGTACTCTAGTAATTAAGCATTGTAATTTTATATCTGCTCTAATTATTTGATGAATGAGAAATGCTGATCTGGAAATCATATTTCTGCGTATGCTAAAATATTAGACAAATAAATCTTGTTATTTTTAGGTGGATCAAGATGTACTTATTACTAACTCATATGAAACAGCCATGAGAACAGCACAAAACTTCCTTTCTATTTTCCTTAAGAAGTAAGTATTGTTGCATTCTTTAGTGTATTGATGAAACCAACTCCAAATCAAATGTCACACCTTAAGACAAACCAAACCACTTCGCATGCCTACTAATAAAGTTACTTATAACAATATATTTTATAGATTCCTAAGAGAGCTACCTGTCTGGACAAAAATTTTCATGGAACAGAAATTCTGCAGTGTTCTTTACACATTTAAGAATCTGTCTGATAGTTTACGTAGGATCCTTTTATCAGGGGTCTTTTACTCATCTGAAGCATGGAAGAGAGGGCTGAGTAAATATTTAACTGATGAAACCAGATTCTTTCAATCATCAGAATGACAAAGATATAAAAAAACTAAAATTACTTTCATTTAGATAAAGTTAGGAAACAGGGGGAAAAAATATACCTGAATAACCAAAGGATTTGTAACAAAAAGTCCTGAGGTTTTTATCATGTTAATTTCTACTGTTAAGCCAAAAGGCTATTTATGAGCCATCTAGCCATCTCTCTGCATACTTCTGGTATCATTAAAGTTAGGGATGCCACATATAAGTGAAACACTATCAGGTATGTTATCTTTTGATTTTTTTCACATTCTCATTTTAACCTTTGTGGAGCATAATACTGAGATGTCTTATCACTGTGAGATAAGTCAGACCAGGTTTAAGGACACAACACCTCCTAAATACCCCACTCTATCTTGAGCTTTAGCATTTTACCTACTTTGTCCATCCAAGTTAATGCAGACTTTAACTCAAAAGAATAAATAAAAAAAATCTTAGTAACAAAATTCTACTATCCTGGATTAGCTGCTTTACTTGCAGTGCAACTTGGAGTGATAACTGTTTATACTATTTGTCTGTAAATGGATAAAACCAATTTTTCTGCTAATATTTTGGATATATATTTTTTTTTTTAGAATTGCATAAAACTGGTTTTCTGGTTAAACATAGGATTAGTTCTTTTTGCATCGGAAGAAAAGCTTAAATGGCTCTTAAATTCACTTACAAAATGCATTATCTTTTAAAAAGGTGTGGCAGTAAACAAGGGGAAGAAGATTACAGACCACTGTTTGAGAACTTCATTCAAGATCTTCTTTCCACAGTCAATAAACCAGAATGGCCAGCTGCAGAGTTGCTACTTAGCTTATTAGGAAGGCTATTGGTAAGGGATCCTTGTTTTTAACTATTATATTACTTTATTTCTTATTGCAATGAAACTTTTTATTTCAGCTCAAACTATTACAGGAATGCTTTCTGATTGTTGACACACACATGTAGCATTTAAGGATTTTCTTATATGTATCACTATTATGTAATGCATAGAAAATAAAATTTAGGTCAGAAGATCAGTAAAGGACATATGTATACAGTTTCTCATGGAAGTCCACTTCTACTATTCCATGATGTTTTCCACATTAAAAAATGCCATTGTGTAGCATCTAATAAGTGTAGATATTCATTGGAAATAAAGTCAGAATAATAGCTGTAATTATTCATGTTAAATACTTCTCTGGACTATTCAATTAGCACAGAACCTGAAAACAATAAAGTAGTTTGGTCTTTTACCAATAATAGTACCTTTACTTATGGAATGTGACATTTTACAGAATGAATATTTTCGTTGACATGGTTTTTGAGAGTTGTTCTTCAGTATTACAATGTAATGAACAAAGTAATTTGAGATGTTTCTTGGAAAAATATTTTATGGTCCTGTTCCTGGTATAATGTAGCTTTCTTTATACTTGTATGAATAATGAGGAAGTTGCATTATGGTGCTTAAGATCTATGCTATTGAAAAGGATATCTGCTGTATTAGATGTCTAGTTTATTTTATAAAAATGCATATTAAAAAAAAAAAAACTCTTAACAGGCATATTTGTAGAGAGAGAGCCAATAAAGGAAAAAACATTAATGTTAAGTAAGGAGTGTATCTGTGATGTAATACTAAATTACATAATTCTATGCAGCATGGAAGTTAGGTGGAATTTTTAATAAGGTCAAGCAATGTCTTGTGAGAAGAATCTCAGTTGCATAAATAAATAATTTTTTTATAACAGTTAATTCTGCTTTTTTAGGTTCACCAGTTCAGTAACAAATCTACAGAAATGGCATTAAGAGTTGCATCACTTGACTATCTTGGAACTGTAGCTGCAAGACTCAGGAAAGATGCAGTCACTAGCAAAATGGATCAAGGATCTATAGCCAGAATCCTCAAACAGGTGTGTGAGAGATCCCGTGCCAGCTGGATTGAGATGTATCCATTTAAAAATTTGAACATTTTAAAGATGTGTGAAAAGCTGGCATTGTGGAGAATGAGTGTTGTGGTTTAACCCGGCAGGCAGCTAAACACCACACAACTGTTTGCTCACTCCCCCCCAGTGGGATGGGGGAGAGAACTGCAAAAAAACTAAAACTCATGGGTTGAGACAAAGAAAGTTTAATAGGACAGAAAAGGAAAGGAAAAATAATAATAATGATGATAAAAGAATATACAAAACAAGTGATGCACAATGCAATTGCTCACCACCTGCTGACCGATGCCCAGCCAGTCCCCGAGCAGTGTCTGATCTCTCAGCCAACTCCCCCCAGTTTGATTGTTCAGCATGACATCACATGGTTTGGAATATCCCTTTGGCCAGTTTTGGTCAGCTGTCCTGGCTGTGCCCCCTCCCAGCTTCTTGTGCACCCCCAGCCTCCTCGCTGGCAGGACAGTATGAGAACCTGAAAAGTCCTTAACTTAGCATAAGCACTGCTCAGCAACAACTGAAACATCAGTGTGTTATCAACATTATTCTCATCCTAAATAAAAAACAGCACTATACCAGCTACTAGGAAGAAAATTAACTCTATCCCAGCCGAAACCAGGACAATGAGTTTTCATTGTTGTTCAGATTTCTGAATGAAATACAGTCAATTTATAAATATCACATTTGTTCATTCATGTCTTTCTAACACCATCTCCCTAGTGATCATATTAAGTGGTTAATTACAATGGTAAAACCAGTTTTCTTGTGACAATATAGAGGAAATAATGGAACAACAGTTTGATTCTGTCTTAAGAGGCCTTAAAAATATATACGTGTATGTATGTATGTGTATTTGCTATTGCAAAGTGGTAATTGAGCTTCTGGCACTCATACACAGCCTTGAGAGAGTTAAACTGTTAGGCCTGTAAAGTTAGTTTTTATGTGATCTAGCTGGTATTGTTTGGTTGGTTGGTTTGTTTTGTTTTTTTTTAACTGGACTTGCATATATCTTTCATTAGAGAATGCATATTTGCATTTCTGCTAATGCTGCTTATCAAAATGTCTCCAAATCTGCAAGGGTGGCAGCAATTAACAAAGCAATGTATGCATTTGGGCTCTCTATAGTACATAGTGTGATGAGAAAATCTCAGGTCTTATGTGTCCTTTTAAAAATGTGGACTTGCACATTTCTTATGGATGCTATACATTTCTTTCTGAACTCTCAGCATGATTAGATCTAAAGTTGAGTAGTCATATCAAGTTCATTTCCCTTTCAGTTACCTGAAAAGACTGTATTATATTTATTTTACAATGACTGTTACAGATTTATGTTGAAGGAAAAACTTGTGCAATTTACAGGCATTCAAATAAAGAATCAAAATTCATCTACTCTGCTTGGGGTGGAGTGGCTCGAAAGCTGCCCGGCAGAGAAGGACCTGGGGGTGTTGGTGGACGGCCAGCTGAATAGGAGCCGACAGTGTGCCCAGGTGGCCAAGAAGGCCAACGACATCCTAGCCTGTATCAGGAACAGTGTGGTGAGCAGGACTAGGGAAGCGATCATCCCCCTGTACTC